ATTATTATTATTATTATTATTATTATTATTATTATTATTATTATTATTATTATTATTATTATTATTATTATTATTATTATTATTATTATTATTATTATTATTATTATTATTATTATTATTATTATTATTATTATTATTATTATTATTATTATTATTATTATTATTATTATTATTATTATTATTATTATTAATTATTATTATTACGATATATCAGATGGATCAAATAAGCCTCACATTTGCGCCCAATAAAATTACTTTTCATTATGCTAAAGGTTCTAATATCCTGTTTATTTGTTATGTGCATTCAATTAATAAGATTGAATGATCGGAATATTCTGATCAGACGACTGTTAGTCACATTAATACGTCATCATATAAATAAAAGTTTTCATTTCATTCCTTTCGTGTCACAAGGTTTACACGTATGCTCCAAAATTTCTACGTTATCACGCGTAACTTACGTGTTCTATTAGCAACAATTCCATAAAAAATTCTTTGAAATAATCGAAACAACCAGTAATGAGCTTTTTTTTCGATAGATTCTTCGGCTTTTTTCAATAAAAGCGAAAGATATCAATTGCATTGTGATATCAGAGAAAAGAGAAAGAATAGTTCTCATTTCGATATCATTGAAGTGTTAGCGCAAATGCTTCCTTAACATATATAGTCAATCGATTATTGCTTTTACTAAACTTCGTCCACAATCATAGTTTTCATTTCATCAGTAGTATATAGTACCGGATTATCATGAAAGTAGTAATTCTATGGTGATCGGGATAAATGTGTTATTTTGAAGAGATACTGATCACTGCGACATCACTAAGTACTACAAAATTGCGATAGGGATGGTACTGGTTTGCTAAATATCTCTGTTTAATGTTGGGCATATTTGAAATGATCACAGGTAAGTTATCATTTAATCATTTACACAGAGATAATTTTATGTTGGCTTATATTTGTCAAGTCTTGATCAGTTAACTTGTCCCATTTTTTTCCAAAAGATTATGATCGAATTAGATGAAAAATGAAATAACATCAATAGGCTCTTAGCGATCATTATTTGGCTTGTCCCATTGTCCTTTCTTTATCCATTCATCCAAAACGATCATCGTTTTATCATTTCAATATCAAATTTTCCACTGTTATTCATGGTTCTATCAAAGCTTGATAGTAATATCATTTATCATTTAAACTAAAAAGTCTTCTTTACAAAGTGCACATTGGAAATGATAAGCAGGAAAAAGGCATGGTTAGAGTGACAAGCACTTATGAGTGATTGCCTACTATCATCATCATACCTATGATCATCACGATTATCACACTAATAATGACTACCGTTATCACTACATTTATTAGTATAAGCATGAATGTGATAATACTCTCTTTCTAGCCAGAAGAGATGTTGGGTAGTATTTAAGCAGCAAAACTCTTTCATATTTGTGTGTTTTTGGTATATTTTTGTTTTGTTCATTTCTTACTGATTATTACACTGAATTTTACCGCCCCAACAAATTTTTGTGATTTATTTTCAAACTTCAAAGAAATTTAGGATTAAAACTGGATTTGAGTTTGCCAGATGATTAGCCCGTAATAAATAAATGAGAAACGAAGCATAAAGCACAAAATCTGGTAGACAAACTGTTCATGGATTTAATTACTCATAGAATGGAACTTTTAGATTAAAATCTTAGAATTAATTTCGCCCTTTTCATAATTCTTCGATTACTAACATTTAACTTCAATATTGGGTTGAAGTTGAAATCAATGTTATGAGAGAGGTTATTTTTAATAAAGCTGTAATAGACGTGAAGGTTAATCAATTAGTCAATTTCTACAAAAATTGTGCA